CCAGCAGCAGCAGCAGCAGCAGCAGCAGCAGCAGCAGCAGCAGCAGCAGCAGCAGCAGCAGCAACTGCAGCAACAGAAGAGCTTTATTTACCTGGTATATCCAATCTTGTGAATCCCCAATCATCAATAGGTTGTATAGCAGCAGGTATATTTGCTGCTGCTGCTGCTGCTGCTGCTGCTGCTCTTGTATTTTTTGCTGCTGTAGATCCGTTGCCTAGTGTAACTGCAGCAGCAGTAGTAAGTGCATCCTTAGCAACATCTGCAGCAGCTGCTGCTGCTGCAGCAACAGCAGGACTAGGACCATCAGAAGCAGCAGCAGAACCAGCTGCATCAGCAGCAGCACCACCATCAGCAGCAGCAGCACCATCACCAAGAGCAGCAGCAGCAGGGGGAGGAGGAAGGACCTTATCATTAAGTATACAGAAATCTATGCATGCAACTTTGCGGCGCAGCAGCAGCCGCTGCTTATTAGTAAACGCAAACTCTCCGTCCTCTGTCTGTGTAACAATTCGTTCCTCCTCCTCCTCTCCTGCTGCTGCTGCTGCTGCTGTAGGGTTACTGCTGCTGCTGCTGCTGCTGCTGCTGCTGCTTAGATAAGAACGCTCTATATAAGGCCTTACTAGATAAGAATAACAACGAGAGACAGCAGCAAAAGTACGAGCACCTGAGTAGCAGCGCAGCCACCTCTGCGGTGTATACCATCTACATTCTCCTCTCTCCCCTGCTGCTGCTGCTGCTGCTGTTGGTGCAGCAGCAGCACCAGCAGCAGCAACAGGAGGAAGAGGAAGAGTTACCCTATTAAAGGGTTGTAGATCACGTAAATCATCTAAACCCCCAATGGCATCAAGATGATCATGAGTAAGAAATACTGCATCTATGCTGCTCACCTGCAGCAGCAGCAGCAGCAGCAGCAGCAGCAACAGCGACAGCAACAATAGCAGCAACATTACCACCACCATCAGCAGCAAAAGCAACAGCTGCAGCAGCAGCAGCAGGACTTACATGATTGTTGCATGCAAACATAAGGTGTTTTACCACAATAAATACATCATAATAACCACCACAGCAGCAGCAGCAGCAACTGCAGCAGCAGCAGCAACTGCAACTGCAGCAGCAGCAGGAATACTTACATGATGCTTGCATGCAAACATAAGAAAAGAGTCCCTTACTGTTTTACCACAATCAATAAGTAATTGAATGTATCACCATAGAAGCAGCACCAACAGCAGCAGCAGCAACTGCAGCAGCAGCAGCAACTGCAGCAGCAGCAGCAGCAGCAGGAGCATGACTTACATGATGCTTGCATGCAAACATAAGAAAAGAGTCCCTTAATGTTTTACCACAATCAATAAGTATTTTTAATTTATTAATAAATAAAAGGAGACAAATATTTCTTCTTTTATTTTTTTTATTAGGAAATAATAATGCATGCAAACAAGTTAGACAACCATAATCACGACTATCTCTTGCTAATATCTCTAGATCCCGACCTTCTACTGCAGCAGCAGCAGCAGCAGCAGCAGCAGCAGATACACACGATTCAGATAAAGGGTCTAATACCCTAGCTATCTCCTCTGCACGTGCTGCTCTTTCTGCTTCTTTTGCTGCTGCTTCTGCTGCTTCTGCTGCTGTTGCTGCTGCTGGCGGGGAGGAGACAGGGAAAGAGATGCTGCTGTTGCATCCAAGCAACGCACTTATACCATTTACCTGCTGCTGCTGCTGTTGCTGCTGCTGCTGCTGTTGCTGTTGCTGCTGCTGTTGCTGCTGCTGTTTGTGTTTGACGAACATTCTATAAGCAATAGCTTCCTGCTGCAGTCGCTGCCGCTGCTGCTGCTGCTGCAGCAGCAACGGTGTCTCCCCTGTCGCTATCTTATAGAAAGGATGAGCAGGATTAGCAAAAGATAATAAATGATTTAATTGAGGGATAGAGGCAGACCCACCAGATCCAAGGAATAATATACCTGATCTGCTGCTGCTGCTGCTGCTGCTGCTGCTGCTGGTGGTCGTGGTGGTGGTGCTGCTGCTGTTGTTGCCATCTTCAGAGCTGCAGAATGATGTGCTACTCTTACTCCTACTGCTGCTCCTACTCCTGCTGCTGCTGCTGCTGCTACTGCTGCTGCTGCTGCTGCTGCTGCTGCTGCTGCTGCTGCTGCTGCTGCTGTTGTAGATGTTGCCACAAGTTTTTAGACAAGATTGACAAATGTCTTCAAAGAGCGGACAGACGTCCGCCACTAATTCCTTAACAGGCTTCATCTTGCTGCTGCTGCTGCTGCTGCTGCTGCTGCTGTTGCTGTTGCTGCTGGTGGTGGTTGGTGGTGGTTGGGATGCTGTTGGCAGTGCTGCTGATGCTACTGCCTCTTCTGTTGCTGCTGCTGCTGTTGCTGCTGCTGCTGTTTAGTTAGCAGCAACCAATTATATATGTGTATATAGATCTGTATACACCAGGTGTGGGGTTGCTGCTGCTGCAGGGAAGGCTGCTCCCGCTGCAGCAACAACAGCAGCAGTAGCAGCAGCAGCTGCTGATGCTGCTGCTGCTAGGAGAGCGGTGCTAGTAAGGGGAAATAATGTATTGTTTTATTAATAAATAAATTTAATTCCCTTTTTTTATTTAATTAAATATAAATAAAAAATAAAATTAATTAAAAAAAAAACAAGAAAAATGTTCTCTCTTATATTGGCTGCTGCTCGGCTGCGCAGCCGAGGCCCCGAATCCTGTTGCTGCTGCTGCTGCTGCTGCTGTTGCTGCTGCTGCAGTTGCTGCTGCTGCTGCTGCTACAGTTGCTGCTTGGATCGCCTTTTGAAGACAACAAGACAAACGATTTAATTATTTATTTTCTTCTTTTTGCGGTGTACGTACACCTTAGATGTGCTGCATGCGAATGCCCTGAGAACCTCTAGGTGTTGCAGCAGCAGCAGCAGCAACCTCAGGCCCGTTGCTGCTGCTGTTGCTGCTGCTGCTGCTGCGGCTACTGCTGCTGCTGCAGACAGCCGTTTCTTGACTTGTCTCTGCCCTTCTTTTTATTTATTTAACTCTTTAAATATACACCGCCTCATATAAGAGGCGCGGCGTCTTGTTGCAGCAGCAGCAGCAGCAACAGCAGCAGCAGCAGCAGCAGCAGCCCTCGCAACTCAAGGAGCAGCTACCAGCCACAGCAACAGCAACAACAGCAGCAGAAGCAGCAGCAGCGGCAGCAGCAGCCGGGGCCCTAAACTCCATTCAACTCAAAGAGCCTTGGGGCTGCATGCGCTTCTTCCGGTGTACGTAAGCCAGGGATGGCTAGCGGGAGCGGCGGGCACACATAGTAGCAGCAGCAGCAGCAGCGACAGCAGCAGCAGCAGCAGCAGCAGCAGCAACAGCAGCAGCAGCAAGATGGAGGCCCATCCTAGGCCGGATCCTGCCCCCCTTAAGGGAACAGATAAACTTATTGGCGGCCCTTCTTCTGCATCTGCTGTATGCAAGCAAGGAAATCAGGTGTGCAGCAGCAGCAACAACAACAGCAGCAGCAGCTGAAGCAGCAGCAGCTGCTGCTGCAGCTGCTGCAGCTGCTGCAGCAATAGCAACAGCAACTGTGTAGAGAGATGCATAGTCACTCCCTTAGCAGAACACATCAGAAACCCAGTCCCCTTGTCGTTGCTGCTGCCGCTGCTGCAGTGTTCGCTGCTGCTGCTGCTGTGCATGCATCTGCTGCTGCTGTCCCAGCTTCTGCTGCTGTTGCTGCCGTGTCTTCTGCTGCTGCTGCTATGTCTGCTGTTCTGTCTGCTGCTGCTGCCCTTCTTCCTTTTGGGGTATATATATATGAATATACACATTGTAATAATTCTGCCTCCTCCTGTTACTGCTGCTGCTGCTGTTACTGCTGCTGCTGCTGCTGCTGCTGCTGCCTCCAGCCCTTATCTGCTGCGCTGCAGGAGCTGCAGCTAGAATTAGTATCGGTAATAAAAAGTAACAAAATATTATCGGAGTGTCTTGCAAAGACACGGCAGCGCCTTAAGGCAGCAGAGGAGGAGCGCATGCAATTAGCAGCAGATTTACGGTGTCTATGCAGCCGTCTTGCTGCTACTGTTGCTGCATTCGAAGGTAAACATAAAGCAGCAGCAGCAGCAGCAGCAGATAACAGCTGCAGCAACACAGAGGCAGTAGAGCAGCTGCTTATATTATCTGATTTCTTACATATTAAGCTGCAGCTGCTGCTGCAGGGACATCTAGCTAATGATCAGCAGCAGCAGCAACTGCAGCAGATAACAGATGTAACAGATGCAGCACACAAACAGCAACACCAGCAGCAGCTGCTGCTGCAGCAGCAGCAGCAGCAATCCAAGCAGCAAGAACCGCAGCAGCAACCGCCACAGCAGAAACCGCAACAGCAACCGCAGCAGCAGCATCAACCCTTGCAGCAACAGCAACTACCAATGCAGCTGCAGGAACCGCCAATACAGCAGCAGCAGCAGCAGCAACAGCAGCAGCAGCAGCAGCAGAAGCCGCAGCAATTCAAAGACGTACTAAGGGAGAATGAGCGACTGCAGCAGCAGAATCAACATCTGCTGCAGCAGCTAGGTATGCTGCAGCAGAATACAGCAGCAGATATCCCCACAACACCGCAGCACCATCAGTCGTGGCCAGCAGCAGCAGCAGCAACACCAGCAGCAACACCAGCTGCAGCAGCAGCAGCAAGCACAAAGGAGCCAGAAACTGCTCCTACTTCTTCTGTGTCTTGGGATCCAATAGACACCGCCACATATAAATGCCCCATACGCATGCAGCAGCAACAGCAGCAGCAGCAGCAGCAGCAGCAAAGGCGGATAAGTTCGGGGGAGCTGCGGGATCACTCAGAGTGGCGGAAGGGAAGCAGCAGCAGCAGCAGCACTTTGCCAGACACAGCAGCAGCAGCAGCAGAGAGTGCAGTATCAGCAGCAGCAGCAGCAGTAGCATTTTCACAGCCGGGATCGCAAAGCTCCAGGCAGCTGCAGCAGCAGCAACAGCAGCAGCAGCAACAGCAGCAACAGCAGCGGCAGCAGCAGGCAGCATCAAACCCGGTCTCCCTCGCAGACTGTTGTCGTCTCCCTTCAGAAACAGCAGCAGCACCAGCAGCAGCAACAGCACCACAGACACCTGCTGCTGCTGCTGCAGCAGCAGCAGCAGCAGATGCTGCAGATGGGCCTGATGAAGGGATGATTTCTCCTACCTCTTCTTCTTTAGATACAAGTCGCAGGTGCGGCTTCCTCCCCTCTTGCCGTGCTGCTGCTGCTGCTGCTGCTGCTGCTGCTGTTGCTGTTGTTGCTGCTGCTGTTGCTGCTGCTGTTGCTGTTGCTGCTGCTGCTGCTGCTTCTTAGGATTGGGAGTAAATGCTCATGTGTGCTGTTTTTGCTGCTGTTGCTGCTGTGCATCAGTTCGTCATCTTGCGGCTCTAGCCTTCCCTCTTACCGTTCCCCTGCTGCTTCAGCAGCAGCAGCAGCAGCAGTAGCAGCAGCAGCAGCAGCAGGAAGACTACGGCGTCCTTCTTGTGTCCCTTGTATATCAACACAGAAGGCAGGGGCAGGGTCATGGATGGGGGGCCTCAAGGAACCATCAGAGTACCCTGTAGGCAATTAAGGTGGGGCCCCTATTGCTGCTGCTGCATGCATGCATGTATGCATGTATGCAGCAGCAGCAGCAGCAGCAGCGGGCTTTGATTTAATGCTATATCTCTCTCTGCTGCTGCAGCATCTATCTACTCTTTGCCTGCGCTATCCTTTCCTCTTCTCCTCCTCCCTCTACAGCTATTATATATAATATATATTATATATATATTATATATAATAATATATATATATATATAA